CAATTCTTAGCTCTGTGCAGTTGGGAGGAGGTGACGAGAAGTGGAGAAGGTTTTGAGCCACAGACACGGTGCATAGAATTATTCTCATCCTGAAACTTCCTGGGCACCTCCATCTTTGCTGTAGGCCTAAAAGTCCTGGATATAACAATGATGTCACCTCCATCCCTGGGGAGCTGTGTCAGAGCTCTCCTCTCCATTAAGCAGACAATTGCCTGAAGCATGGAGAAGAGAAGGCACCCAGTGAATCAATAAAATGGATGAGAAGAAAACTTACCCCACACCACGGAAAGAGTCCTAGATGGGGCAACGGGAGCTCTATAGCCATAGGGTCATAGATATAGAGCTAGATGGGACCGTGGAGACCATTTAGTCCAACCTTCTCATTTTATACATGAGGAAACTGAGACCCAGATAAATGAAGGGACTTGTCCAAGGTCTCACAGGTAGAGTCATCGTTAGGATTTGAACCCAGGTCTTCTAACTTGACTCAGGCTTTTTCCCCCTTCACTGTACCCCATGCTTCAGTCTTAGCTCTGCCACTAACTTATCATGGGATCTTTTTTAAAAAAATTTTTAATTTTCAGTTTCAAATTCTCTTTCTCCTTCCTGCCCTTCCTCCAACCATTGAAAAGTCAAATAGGATACCTATTATACATGCAAAGTCAATGTCATGTGATTGATCAATTCACTTTAATCTCTTTAAATTTTAGTTTTTTCACCTCTAAAATGAAGAGACTGGGCCCAGAGGTCTCTAAGGTTCCTTCCCGTTCTAAGATTCCAGGAATCATACCCGCTTTCTCATACCCCACTCTATCCCAAATTGCCTGGCTTTCCACGATCCCATACAGAAAGGGTCCAGTCATTTACTAACAATGGAAATGGTATATCATCATGATTCCTGGTCTGTGTACAAGGTACTGCGCTAGGTGCTGGGGATACAAAGACTTCCTTTGAAAGGTTGGAAGGAAGGGACAGAGGTCTACGAAGCAGAAATGAATGCTGCTTGTACACAGGCTCAACTTGCCCCCAGCTCTTGATGCACCTGTGCTTTAGAGCCCAGCTATCTCAGTCCTTATGGCCTCCCTAGAAAGGCCTATCTGTTTTGGAGATGGCTAATGAAGGCTTCCCTTTCTTTAATAGTGAGAGGTATACTGTATACCCTGCACAGGATTCTCCAAGGCCATTGCTCATAACAACCTAGCAGGTAGCTCTAACTGCTCTTTGTAGAAATACAAATACATAAACATAAATACATCTTTCTTCTCCACCAATGATTGACAAGGTACCTCATGTTGAGTTTCCAAGTGTGCCAGGACAGGCAAGAATAGGTATCCCAGTGCCATATATGACTTTATTTCATTTCATTTTATTTTATCCCATTTTATTTTCAACTGTGTAAGACCAGAAACCCTCAGTGAAGGAACGAGTCTCCACAAATTTCAAAATAAGTGGCTGGAACTCTTCTTGTACCCTCCCTTCTGCCCTGCAGGGTGAGATGCTACAACAGTCAATGAGAATTAAAGAGACCTACATTCTAATCCCAGCTTGGTTACAAACAAGCTGGACAACACTGAGCAAATCAACTCCCTCTCTCTAGGCCTCCCTCACTTTCCTCACCTGTAAAATGAGGAGATAAGACTAGATGATGTCTAAGGTCCCCTCTGGTTCAAAAACTCTGGTTCAACAGCTTTATTTGTAATAACAAAAAAGAAAAAAAAATAAGGAAAACTGGGGAAAGGCCGACCAAATTGTGGTACAAGCTGAAAATGGAAGATTAGTACCCCTTAAGGAATTATAAAATATAAAAGCTATTAGGAAGTACAAGACGACATATATAAAGCACAATAGCTCAAAGAAAGCAAGATGGGAAAACAATGTACACAATGTGTATGGCTATGCAAATAACAATAACCACAGTGACAAAAACTGGAAAAATACAGAAATAGACTTCAGAGGGGGATATATAAACAAACAGGGATCCCTGGTTATTATTTGGAAAAGGGACTATACACATTTTAATGCACTTATGTTCAATTATTTAAAATTTTGTTTGTGTATTTGTTTCAAATGGTTCATTCTAAAGAGATGAAGAGTAAGTGGGATTTGATGTAACTATAGACTACTTGACTACATCTGGATAAGAATAAAGTAGAGTCTAAATCTTATAATGATGTGATGATGAAGTCGATGATGATGACAATGATGGTTCTAAGAGACCACCAGACCTAGACACCCAAGAAGCACAATTCCACACCACCATCAGTGAGGGTTTTATTGGTTTCAAGGTTGAAATTCATTCCTGTCTGATGTTTCCTATTATGGAATTGATAATAGTGAAAAACTTTGGGTCAGGGAACACAGAGTCAGAGAATCTCACAGCTGGAAAGGCCTTCAGAGGCCATCCGGTCTAACTCAGACCTGACCAAACTTGCCACTGCAACACAGGGCATTCAGCCCTGTCTCGAAGACCTCCAGTAAGGGGAATATCACTACCTCCAGAGTGAGCCCATTTCATGTTTAGCCAGCTCTAAGTGTCAGGAAGTTTTGTCTGACATCGAGCCGAAATCTGTCTCTGCAACTTCCACCCATTGTTCTGGGAATGTCCTCTAATAAGAGCACATTTAATACCTCTTCCACATGACAGGCTTTCAAATATGTGAATATAGTGTTTCCCTAAGTCTTCTCTGCAGGCCCAAATCCTTCATCCCCAAATCCTTCAAGGGATCTTCACAAGGCCCTTCACCATTCTGGTTCCCTCTTCGGTTTAGCAATGTCCATCCTAAAATACGGTGCTCAGCAGAGCCACAGCCAAGGTGGGAGCAGCCAGGGCCTTGCCTCCTGACAATTACAAAGCTAACCCAGTTAGCAAAAATAATTAGTTTAAATTGGTCACTACCAGCTAGGGGTTGGCTTCCCTCCCCACTTTCTTGCTCCCTCTTACCCTCTAAGTGAGTGTGTGGTGTTAACAGCAGGCCTAGAAACCAGCACCTAACACAAAACTCCAGATGTGGTCTGACCAGGGCAGGATCTGCTCTGTGCAACATCCCAGGCTCCCCTTATTCTTGCAGCTCTAGGAAGCCTCCCAATTAGAGGTACATATGAAAGCCCTAGGTTCAGGTCTGATCTTGGACACATATAGGCTGGCTATGTGACTATACTGTCACATGAGCAAACAACTTCACCTCTCGTGTCTCAAAGTATCTCTCTTGACTACTAATTACAGAGGGGGTGGTAATCTGAGCTGATAAAGGAAGTTCCTCACCAGGAGCTTGCTACCCTGAAGACAGTCCAGGGACAATCTTCATGATGCCTCCTAAAAACAAATGCTCTTAAGGCCTCCGGATTCCTAAGGTGGCCCTCAGCCCCACCCCTGCCTTCATCTCTCACAGGAATCAAAGGTACTAGCCACACCAAGTGGTACCAACGACGACAACAATAATAGCTAGCATTTATATAGTGCTTTAAGGTTTGCAAAGAATTTTAAAAATATTATCTCATTTGATCTTTACCACAACCCTCTAATACAGGTGCTATTATTATCTCCATTTTACAGATAAGGAAACTGAGGCTGAGAGAGTGAATGAGTTGCCCAGATCCACACAGCGGCTAAGTGTCAAAGGCAGGATTTGGAATCAGATAATTCTGACTGCAAGGCCAGCACTCTAACCCCTCCATTGATGAGCTGCCCAATTCTTGGTGATCCACTATCCACTATTCCCCAGCAGATGCCCATGTCCATCTCCCCTTACTTCTCCTCTTTTACTCTTCTCTTCTTCCTCTCATTCCCTCATTGCCTTTCTTTATCGTCCCTGTCTGGGGCCTGCTGTGGCTGTGTCATTCATCGATGACCCTTGTTGTGTGACCTTAAAGCTCACACACCCTGCTGAGGACTGCTCACTTGGCTGATAGCCTGATCCATGACCTCCCTAGGGCACAGGGATCAGGTCTTACTGGGCTTGGAACTGGATATTTGTGGCTAGATTTAGGATTTGGGCAATCAGTTTGTTTCTCAGGTCATCATCACCTGAAGGTCTTCCTTTACCCTTCTCCCACTGACACAGACCACTGTACCCTGGAATTCCAGCCCAGAGTGCATGGGTCCATAGTGAGGCTTCCCTCATATCATAGCATTCAGGAATTCCTCTTTCCTCATGGAAGCTTACTCCTCAGAAAGAAAAGGGTATCAGGTCTGGAGCTGTATAGAAAGGAAGAGAGGCACTGCAGGTGATACAGGAAAGAGAAATCAGGGTCCCTCTGAGGTCAAAGATCCTGTCTAGCTTTTCAAAGTGTCTGACTACATGGGCAGCAGGGTCAGATTAACCCTTAGGGGTAACTGTGCATTAGCTTATGGGCCTGTAAGGAAACATCTGTATATTAATGGAGCATCTGCCAAGTAAGCAGTACATGCGAGGGAGGGAGAGAGGAAGGAGAAAGAAGTGAGGGGTTTCCAACCTATTCTACTGATAAGCACTATCCTATGGTCCCAAAGGAAGTGACCATTCCTCCATGAGTAATTTTTCCATAAGTGGATGTCACAGAATGGTGACGAAAGAACTGGGAGTTGGGAGTCTTGGGTCCAGACCCAGTCACTAACTAGCTATGTCATGTTGGGCAAGTCATTTTAGGTCCCTGGGACTCAGTTTCTCCATCTGTAAAATGAGAGGGTTGGACCAGATCAGCAGTTTTTAACCTGAGTTCCCTGGATAGATTTCAGGGGGTCTGTGAGCTTGGCTGGGGGGCGGGGAATACATCTTTATTTTCACTAACCTCTAACTGAAATTTAGCATTTCCTTCAATTATGAATAGAGGCAACAGACATTATTCTTAAAAGGGAGTCCATAGGTTTTACTGGACTGCTAAAGGTGTCCAAGACACAAGAAGGGTTAAGAACCCCTGGAGTAGTTTGTCTCTAAGGTACCTTTTAGGTCTAAGATTAGAAGGCTCAGTAAGCTTATGAGCTCATAGGAGAACCTAAGGGTGCCCCCCACCCAATGTCTTACCTTGTATTTGGTGGCCAGGAGCTCTGTGGCTTGCTGCTCCCGCCTCAGGTCCTCAATCATCTTCTCCTTCTCCTCCAATAATTTCTGCTTCTCCTCATTGACCAGGCTGTGGTCATCTTGTATAGCTGCCTTTTCCTCCTCCAGTCTTTCCTTCTGTTCCTGCAGATAGTTCTCCATATTCTTCTCCAGAGGGACCTCTGGAGTAGGCTGGGGTGGTCTGTTGTTATTGTTGTTGTCATCTTCCTCTTCAGCAACCCAGGCCTCAGTTACGGAACCCTCTGGGTACCCCTCAATGGCCACTGACTTCTTCCTGCGGCTGCTTCTCCGGCGCTTACCCAGCAGCCCACGCTTCTCTAGCTGAGCCTTCAGGCGGGCAATCTCCTCCTGGAACTCCCGTAGGAGCGTGTCCTTGGGATCTTCATTCACCCGAGGCTTGTTCTTAATATTCTTAGCCCTGTTGGCAAAGCGTAGAGTGGACAGGCTCTCATCGTAGCTGTGTGAGGCTGGGCCCAGGGTGGCCACCATGATGGTCTTGGCATTGCCCCCAAGAGAGTCCTGAAGCAGCCGAGTCAGCTTGGAGTCCCGGTAGGGGATGTGGGTGCTTCTGCCGTCCACCAGAGCTGAGATCACATTACCCAGAGCAGAAAGGGAGAGATTGATTTTTGATGCTTCTTTGGGCCTTTCTCCGGTGCCACCCCCTCCCCCTGAAGGCTGGGTAGCTGCCACTCCAGATGTGTTGGTGCCTGCTTTGCCCTGCCGCTCACTGCCAGCCAGGTCTACCAGATTGAGCTTTCCCACCCGGATGTGTTCTTGGCCATCAGAACCCTGCTCACTGCACTCCACTGTAATGACAAATATGGCATGGGAACGGGAGCTGACCTCGTTCATGTGGGTACTGCCCACAGCCCTGGCCTGGTTGCCCAGATTCATTACGTGTTCTATTTCTTTGACATTCTTGGTGACAAAGGAGGAGAGATCCTTGATGTAGACCCCAGTCTCTGGGTTCTCTTTCAGCTCCAGTCTCTTGCCTGGCTCCTTGGAGAGCAGGTCCCGGATCTCCTCCTGGTAGATCTCCAGATAAGAGGCCCGAACCAGGTACTGCTGGTTCTGGGAACGGGAGATGTGAGTGAAGATGTGCTCAAAGGCGCTGGGGATGACCCCTCGCTGCTCCGGCTCAGCCCAGGTGCCCTGCATGGTATAGGTCTTGCCGGTGCCGGTCTGGCCATAAGCAAGAACAGTGCCATTGAAACCCTGCAACACCGAGTCTATGAGTGGGCGCACTGTCTCATCGTATAGGTCAGCCTGCTTAGAGCTGGCATCGTATACAGCGTCAAAGGTAAAAGTCTTGGGCAGCTCCCCTGGGGTAGCCCGAGGGTTCCTGAGGGTCACCTGGCCCAGCTTCACATCCATCTCCAGAATCTGCTCATGGCCAGCAGCCTCTTCTTTCCTACTCATGGGGCGGCACCGGGCCACCACCTTCAGGGCCTCGCTGGGCTTGGCTTTATTGGCCATTCTGCAGCTCACAGTACTCCCTTTCCCCCCACCCCAGGTCCCTATCCCACCCTCACCTCCTGATCCTCCCTCACTCAAGCAGCCTGGGCTGTCTGCCTGCCCTTAAGTCTGGATCCACTGGGCTGTCCCGGCCCAGTGGGGCTGCTCCTCAACGTGCATGCAGCTTCCAGAGGTGAGGGGAGGGATGCTGGCTGGGGTGGTGGCTGCCGCTCCGCCCGCCTGGCCGCCGGCTGCTGCAGTCCTGGCCTCCAAAGCTCTCTGCTCTTCGCTTGCACCACCCTGAGCTGGGGACGAGGATTAGGCAGAATGACCAGGCAGTGGCAGGAGCAGCAGTAACAGCGACAGGAGCCGCATCGCTTGCCAGGAGGCAGCCCCTAGAGCCCGGCCCATACTGGGGAGAAGGGACCCTGGGTTGTAAACAGCAACAATGAGATAAAGAAAGAGGAAAATAGGATGGGGGTGGGCAGCAGGGATCTGGTCTCCTCCTCCTCCTGCTCCTCTCCAATATTCTATGGCAGTGGGCTGGGAGAGTCGGGGGTCCTGGACAGCTGGGGTCCTGGGTCCTTCATGGCCCTTCTGTGTGCAGAGACGCTCACCTACAGTTCTCTCCCCAGGGTGGAGGATCATTCATTGCAGCGTTTCTGCTGCTGCCGCTGCCGCTGCCTCTGCCGCCGCCGCCAACGGAGAATGAGAGAGAAAAACAGACAGGGATGGGGCGGAGCAGCGGCGGCTGGAGGGAGTGATGCTGCCGCCGCTGCCGTAGCTCTCCCACTCGCTCGGGGTGGGGTAAAGGGATGGGGGAGGGGGAGCAGAGACAGTCTGGGACTGGCTAGAGGAGAAATAAATGGTCAAGCATCTCCTCCCGGCGCCACTGCTGGCCCCCTGCTCTTCTAAATAAACAACGGGCACCTCTCATTGCAGAAATCCTGCCTGCCCGGTGGCTTCTATCATTTCCACGCCAGAGCCTGACACTATCCACCCTCACCCCAGCAGGGCTGGGCTCGCGGAATGCTGGGAGTTGTAGTCCTGCCTTTGTTAACCGAATTCGGGCAGGTTAGGGGTCCTAGTTCCAGGCTTGGATGCCTCGCTGGGGAGTCTGAAGGGCCCCGGATTTCCAGGGTTCAGTCTCCAGTGGGACTAGAGGCTTTGGGACCAAGGAGGCTAATCCACTGAGTCTGTCTCATTCTTTCCTGCCTCCTGAGGGCTTCAGCTCACCCATGTAACCCCTCCCTCTCTAGCATCTTCAATTATCAAGAGAAATAGTAAGGTGGAAAGGGCGTTGGGTTAGAAATCAGGACGCCTGGAGTTTAATTCTTTCTGCTATTAATTTGCTGTGTAATGTAGGCTGGGACTTTTAACCTGTCAAGGCCTCGTTTTTTTCATATGTGAAATAAGGGAGCTGGTTTAGATGAGGGGTTCTTAATCTGGGGTCTAGACTTATTTATAAAAGAAACCTTGATAGCTATATTTCCATATAATTGGTTTTTGTTGTAATTCTATGTATTTTATTTTATACATTTGAAAACATTCTGAGGAGTCCATAGGCTTCATCAGCCTGCTAAAGAAGTCCATGATACAAGAAAGGTCAAGAACTTCTGGGCTAGATTTCTAAAGACCCTTCTGGGTCTAAAAATCTAGGCTCTCTCCCTCTCCATTGGTTTCGTCACCTCTGCCAAATATTCAGCTATCCTCTGGATAGGGAAAAAAAAACTGTGGTGGTCTGGTCCCACTGGCTTAGGATTCAGAGGAACCAGATTCAAATCCTGCCTCTGATGCTTACTGCCTGAGTGACCCTTGTGCAAATTACTTCACCTCTTTTAGCCTCAGTTTCCTTAACTGTAAAATAAGAGAGTTGAATTAGATAGCCTATGAGATATCTTCCAGTTCTAGTCTGAGGATCCTTTGACCCAGTTGGTCCCTCAAGAGATGCATAATGGAAAGAGTTCTAAAACTAGAATCAGAAGATCTGGATTCAAACCTGAGTAGTTGTGTGACTCCCAGCCTCCCCAGGTAAGTCACAATCTTTGTGAGCTTTTATTGCCTCATCTGCAAAATGGGTCAATACTACTCACTTGCCTACCTCACAGGATTTTTGTGAGAGAAGTACTTTGTGAAATTATAAAACCTTATAGAAATATAGTCTGTTTAGCTTTTCTTCGCTATCATTTTCCTTTCACTGTGAAATTCCTTGCCAAGATGATCCATGGCTACTCCCTCCATTTCCTCACCAGGTCTCTGCAGTTGGACTTCGCTTCTTATCACTAGGGTCTGTCTTAGAGGCAGGGAGAACAGGTAACCTATATGGTGAGATTTGAAAGGATCAAAGAAGGGATCCCGTGCTTCCAAAAGCTTCCCCCACTTGTGGCTGAAAGTCTACCACAAGAGATTCATGCTTTCAGGTCTAAAAGACTTTTCCATGGTCAAGATTGCCTTATTAAAATGCAAACACCATAACAGTGATAATTCTTTGGCTACCACCAGCCAACAACTTAATCTATTCTTTGCTGTCGTTCAGTTGTTTTCATTCCTGTACCACTCATCATGACTCCATTTGGGGTTTTCTTGGCAGAGATACTGGAGTAGTTTGCCATTTCCTTCTCTAGCTCATTTGACAGATGAGGAAACTGAGGCAAACAGGGTGAAGTGACTTGCCATTGACAATGAATCATTCAACAAGCACTTATTAAGCAGCTGCTGCATGCCAAGCTCTGTGCTAGGTGATGGGGAATCAAAGACAAAACCAAATCAGCCCCTGCCCTTAAGAAGCCAACATTCTATTGAGGGTTCCAACTTAGGTACATACGAGTAGACAGAACGAGTATAAAGCATAAATATAATTTATATTTTAGGAAGGATATAAAGAAGTAGCAACTGAAACAGGGGGGAATCAGAAAAGGCCTCAGGAAGAAATGGGGAATTTGAGAAGGATTTTGAAGGAGACTCTGTATCCCAAGAGACAGACATGGGGAGGGAGTGCAGTCCAGGGACAGAGTGCATCTGTGCAAAAGTCAGGAGATGGAGTGTCAGGTTTGAGAAGGAGCAAGCAGTTCAATTTGGTTGCATAGGAAGAGTGCATGATAGAGAGTAATGTGTAAGAAGTCTGGAAAGGGAAGCTGGAATTAGGTTGTGAAGGGCATTAAATGCCAAACAGAGAAGTTTGGATTGTATCCTAGTTGACAACCAGGAGTCACTAGTGCTTCTTTGGCAAGGGAGTGACAATCACCAGACCTATGCTGCAGGAATATCAATTTGGCAGCTGTGTGATGTATGGAAAGGTGATAGGCTGGAAGAAACAGGATATGGGATAGACTCCAAGGAGATGACTGGACTCAGAAGGAAAGTAGGAAATATTGGGGTCCAAGAGCCCATCAAAGACAAATATGTCTGCTTCACAATTTTGCCACATGAAGACCCTGCCCCTCACTGGCTTGACTTATTTCTGGCAAAAGCCAATGGTTTTATTCCGCTCCCATACTCCCTTACCCCTCTGTAGCAGTCAGAACTATTGATGCCATTTCTTTGCGCTTGTCTTTTTTTCCCTTTTGTTTCTTACTTGTGTTTTCATGGCAAGTATAGAGAACATGGCATTAATTTTCACTCTTCTTTACTTTCTTATTCTCTCTCTTCCTGGGCTAGGGCTGGCTTATTCATACCACCACCAGCACCACCACCCCACCAACCTGCATCTATTCTAGCAGGTCGGGTAGTTCCCCACAAGGGGCACGCATGTGGCTACAACTCATTCCCAGAGTCCTAGAGATAAACCTGGGGTGGGGAAAATACACATCTAAATGGCAACTGTCTCTTTTGAGCCCCCACTGGTATGCTTCCCATTCATACAAAGTAGTCACAAAGACATTATTAATGCTTTTTTTTTGCTTAAGTTGTTTATTCATTTTTTCCCTCAATTTAGCCTTGGCAAAAGTTATGTAGGAAACCAAAAGAGGATAAAGGAGCGGCTAAGAAATGCTACTGTACCTGTAAATGAAAAGTATGCTCAAGGGAGGCATTTGGATTTGTAAGAATACAGATACAAGCTACAGAAAGACCTGAGTTTAAATCTGACCTCAGATATTTACTATCTTTGTGACCCTGAGTAAGTCACTTAGCCTCTGTCTACCTCAGTTTCCTCAACTGTAAAATGGGGACAATAATAGCACCTACCTCCTAGGGTAGTTGTTAGGATCAAATGAGATAATATTTGTAAAGTACTTAGCATCATGCCTGGCACATAGTAAGTAAGCACCTAATAAATGCTTGTTGACTTATCTTATGGGATAAAAAGTCACATATCATTTTTGTTTTTAAAATAGTTGTTCAGTCATTCAGTCTTGTCCAACTCTTCGTGTCCCACCCCATGGACCACAGCACACAAGGCCCTTCTATTCTCCACTATCTCTCAAAGTCTGTCCAAGTTCAAGTTTGTTGTTTCCCTGGCACTTTCTATCTAGCTCATCCTCTACTATCCACTTTTCCTTTTGCCTTCAATTTTCCCCAACATCACAGTCTTTTCTAATGAGTCCCATCTTTTCATTATGTCAACAAATTATTTAAGCTTCAGCTTCAGTATTTGACCCTCCAGTGAACAGTATGAATTATTTTTTTTAAGTATTGGCTGATTGGGTCTCCTTGATGTCCAAGGGACTCTCAAAAGTCTTCTCTAGCACCATAATTTGAAAGTGTCAATTTTTTCCTTTATAATCCAATTCTCCTTATAGTCCAATTCCTTATAGTCCAATTCTCACAGCCATATGTTGCTCCTGGAAAAACCATAGCTTTGACTATGCAGACCTTTGTCAGCAAGGTGATGTCTCTGCTTTTCAGTGTGTTGTCCAGATTTGCCATAGCTTTCCTTCCAAGGAGCAACTGTCTTTTAATTTTGTGGCTTCAGTCATAGTCTACAATGATCTTTGAGCCTAAGAATATAAAATCTGAAATTGCTTCCGTTTCTTCTCCCTCTCTTAGCCGGAAGTCTTGGGACCAGTTACAGATCTTACTTATTGTTTTTTTTTTTATATTAAGCTTCAAGCCAGCTTTTATACTCTCTTCTTTCACCCTCATCAAGAAGCTCATTAATTCTTCTTTACTTTCTGCCATCAGAGTGGTATTGTCTACATATCTGAGATTGTTGATATTTCTCTGGGCAACTTTAATTCTGGCTTTTGATTCATCCAGCCTAGAATTTCGCATGATGTGCTCTGCATATAAATGAATAAATAAGGTGACTGGTGCTTGTTTCTAATTTCATTCTTCTGGTGGGATCCTGGAACAACTCTGTACTTTACCGAACCTGGAAAAATGGCTGATGCCCTACTAAATAAATCTGTACTATATTTTATTTTATTTTTTGGCTGGGCAATGGGGTTAAGTGACTTGCCAAGGGTCACACAGCTAGTGTCAAGTGTCTGATGCCAGATTTGAACTCAGGTCCTCCTGCCTACAGAGCCAATGCTCTATCCATTGTACTACCTAGCTGCCCTACATTTTAAATAGTGGTGATATTCTCCACTGCCTTGAGTATTAGAGCGTTTACAGTGACCTAGACCTTCTAGGAAGATCCAAAATCCTAGGTGTACACTAGGACACCTAAGTAAGAAATCCCCTCCGAGATTACTTCTAGGGTTGTTTGGTACCATTTTGGGAAATTATAGAGCTGCAGAGTTTGGTTTTTATTCATGAACAATCCTGAAAAATATCCACCAAACATGCATTAGTAACATTCTGCTCTTTAAAACCTTAGTAGCTAGGTGGTACAGAGGAAAGAATGCCATACTCAGGTCCTCAGGAAGACCTGAGTTCAAATCCAGCCTTAGAGCTAACTAGTTGTATAATCCTGGGCAAATCACATAAATTTTATTTGTCTTAGTTTCCTCATCTGTTAAATAGGGTTAATAACATCAACTACTATTCTATTTGCATGAATCAAATTAGATAATAATTATAAAGGGCTTATTAGTGCCT